CGGACCTTGTTGATCCGGGCGACGTCCGAGCTGGCATGCCTTCATATTTATCTATTTAAAACAGGCCTGGCCCGGATCGGCCATCAAGCTGGCACTTCTGACTGAGTGGTGTCATGGCAGAATGTATGTCAACCAGATGTACGCCAGGTCCGGCAATGACGGCACTGTTTATGTGATGGCATGCCATATCTGGCCCGATTATGGTTTGGTTTATGTGGCCCAGGCCCATAGAAAACAGCTCTGGCCGGGATCCGGCATCAAGCTGGCACTTCTGACTGACGGTTGTTATGGCAGGGTGTCTGTCAACCGGATGTGGGCCAGGTCTGGCAATGATGCACTACTTATGTTCCTATTTTTCTATTTTCGTTAGAAAAACCAAATGCCATGTTGCAATACTATACTGCTATGATAACCAACGTTTCAAATGCAGGTTTGACAGATTTGTGAGTTTACACTTTATCCAAAACCTAGTGAGGGTTTACTCATCGATACCAGCAGGTGGTTGTAGCTCAGGTGGTAGAGCAGGTCACCTATTGATCAGAAGGTTAGTGGTTCGATCCCTGGCTCCTCCAGTCTGCATGTCGTGGGTGTGGATGTAGTTAGGAAGCACTCAGTTAAGAGAAAGTGTGTGGTTGGGTGAATGCGGCATGTTGTCTAGAGCACTTTTGAGTAATCTGGGACATTTGAAAAATGTTATACAAGAATCAGTCCGTTCACTGTCTGAACAGAGTTTTGTCATGTTGCTTTTGCACTATTATGCATATGTTGTTATTACATGGCTTAATTAAGGTACACATTAGGCTGACATCTGGGGCCAGAGCTGAAACTGTTCTGGCCCAGCACAGGGCCAGCAATGTGTCAGCAACTGGGCCGTGGCTGCACACAACTTACACATGGCCCACATACCGCAAAGAATGACGGCCCTTTGGCGGCCCAGACCAGGTTTGGCCCAGCAAAGGGCCACCAGTGTGTCTGCAACTGGCCATGTGCTGGCCCATGTGTAGGCCACCTCTGGCAAACCAGATCTGGGCCCCTAAAGGGCCGTCATTCTTTGTGGTATGTAGGTCATGTGTAAGCACATTGTGTGGGCCAGATCCGGACCATACCAATTTTGCTATTTGGGAAAGGTCTCAAATATCACTACATGTAGGGGTTTTTTTGTTTTTGTTTTTTTTACTGTTGTCATCCCCTTCTCTCTTCTGGTCCACTTGTCAACCAATCAACATTTGGTAGAATGCAAAGTAGTCCCTCTCTGTCCTACTGAAATCGTGTCTGCCGATGGACACAATTGTGGGACCATAAAACAATCTTTATCTGTTGGATGTGTGTGGTACATTGTATTTCAAGTTCCCAGTCAGAATATTTATCTGGAATGCCACCTCAACTCAGAAAATCCAAAAACTCAAAAAAGAAAAGAAAAGAAAAGAATTGGAGCAACCCTACCAACCCTGAGTTAAAAATCAAAGATGATGGCAGTGAACATAAACAGTGGTGAAACTTTTAATCTGTACTGCCACTGCTATCTAATTGTGACTTGCTAAATAATCCATACACAGAGTGCTGATCAGGTTCTATCATAAATGTGATACCATGGTGTTTTTAAAAGAGGTGTTATGCTATATTGCTGGTGATGCATGAATGGCTCAATCCAAGAAGCAAAACAAATCCTGCTTTTTTTTATCTTCTGACTTCATTAAAGGGATGTGCTAACTCAGGAGCAACGTGGCTCCCGAGTTCCGACATCTGAGATCCGAATTATGCAGTTTTAGTCTTGTGTGAACAACCTGGCCGCGATTGCCCAGAATACTTTGCAATTGTTTTCTCTCTGAGAGACAGAAAGCAAGAGACGGAGTGCAAAATGAGTGTGGATATACCAGCAGGGCAGCTGCAGCCGTCATGACAATGGCTGTCACACGTCTGGCTGGCCTGAGGGGTGGAACAGCTGTCAGGACATGAACTGCTGCATTCCAGGAAAACCATGTTGTATGGACATTTCTTGTCTGTGGACAAAAGTTTTTCAATGTCAATTAAAGAATTTTGCAAAGTATAAGAAAAAAACACTGCCTGTGATGGAGACCCAGAAGTGTAAATGTTGCACCCTTACAGCAAAATGTGTCGTTCCTCCATTCTTGGGGTTTGCCACCTGCATGGACGCACTGTCTGGAGAACTCTGAAAGTGTTTTGCAGAGGACAAGAGTAGTGCTGTCTGTAGAGTTGCACGTGTCCACCATGCAGGCTTTACTAAAGGACTCCACGTCAAGAATGTTTTGGCAATCAACAAAGGGATCACTGGAGAAAGTCTGGTCACAGAATTGCTGAAAAAGAAGTCAGTCAGTTAAAAAAATACATACAGCCTACAGTTTGAACCTCAAGGTAGCAAGGTAACATCTGTTTGAGTTTACAATAACAGTGCGCTGAAGAAGTATTCATACCCTTGAACATTTTCACATTTTTGTCACCTTACAACCACAAACATGTCACAGTTTTCAGATTTTTATTTGCTTGAAATTTTGAAAACCGTGCATCATTTCCATACCACTGCACAATTATGAGATTCTTTGTATTGGTCACAGAAAATCTTAATGAAAACATTTTGGTTTGTGGTTGTAAGGTGACAACATTTCCAAAAGTTTAAGGGGTATGAGTACTATAATACTATATATATATATACTATATACTATATACTATAATACTATTAATATTGCACTGCAGCTGCCTCAGAAGTGCGGAGTATAGTAGTAAGAGTGTGTTTACTTAACCCAGCAGACCTCCCACAGACTAATTCAACCCAAGAAATAATTTTTACAATCCTTCATAAACCTGTATAATAACTATAATAACACCTGTGCCAGGTGACAACATCTGTCAGGCATATGATAACACACAAATGTTTTTTATACTTTAATGCAGCTTTTTGTTCTTAGATCTTAGATTTAGATACTGTGTTATAATGCATTTATATTATAGATTTGCACTAATTTGCACTACTCTCTTAAATAGTCTCTGTCTTACTGTTACTGTTTTGCTTTTACTTAAATTCATTTTTACTTTTCTTTGTATTTTTAATCACTGGTGTATATATAACATGTTGCACTGTTTCACAGTGGCACTTTTACTTCAACCTTCATGTTTATTTGTTGTTTTCTGTATAAATAGTATAACTACTTGTCATCACAGTAACAGTTTTAGTGAAGATAGCATTAGTTAAACTACAAGAATGTCTTTAAGATATAAAGAACTTAATGACCTCTAATTTCCTGCTTCTCAATTCAGATAGAAACTAGTTCACACACAGTGCAGTAAGAGTACTGACGGGGTAAAGAATCAGATAACACATTTCTCCAATACCAGCTTATCTTCATTGGCTCCCTGTTAAATCCAGAGTCAAATTTAAAATTGCTATCCTTCATTGGGCCTAGGCTGCTGGTGGCTTTCCATGATACACTGTTTCTTCACTCACCTCTTTTACCCATTATGTTTTTATAATAATA